TAGACACGACACGAGTCATACAACCAGCGATCTTTCTCTGTGTCTCTTTCCATCTGTGTATGTGTGTGTGTACACGTGTATCAGAGATCTCTGCTCTGATTAGGAAATGGTCGGGCGCGGAAGTTGTTCGACGATATGCCTGAATGAGAAATTTCGTAGACAAAACAAGGATTATAGGTTTCGAATTGTCAGAATCTCCGGAAAATCTGATATGATTAATTCACGAACGGGTGGCTTCTTCGAGCGTTCTATCTCTTTCGTTCTCTTGCTCTGGTGCTTCATCTTCCTCGTATACTCCAAGCTTGGCCTTAGCCATAATTCTGGAGGTAAAATGTTTTTCCTTTGTTATGTTGTTAACTCGTGCTCAAATTTGTTTCTTCCCTAATATGTAACAAAGGAGAAAGATACCAATCTAATTCAGATGTTAATTAAGGAAAGTTTGATCATTGGATTTGGATAACAGATTTTAGGATTATTTCCAGACATTGTTATGCTGTATTGCATTGTGATCTATTTTCATTCCAATTTTGTAGATAGAATTGGTAATTACACTGATGAATCAGTGTCGAAGATCCTAAATTCAACGAGTTCGGGAGATTCTTCTTCTGTCTTCCCTCAAGCTACTGGGAAAGAGAACAATTATTGTCTACTGAGAAACAGTCAGTTACAAGATGTGTATGAGCATGTTCTTGGGAACAATGCTTTGTTGATCTGCAAAATTGTAGTACCAGAAAGAAGAAAAAGCAAGACCTTGGAAGCGCGTGATCCGATATATGTCAATCTTGAAGACAAAGGTCTCAAAGTAAATGGCTCGGGCGTGCCATTACAGCTTGTGAATGTGACTCATTATAGGTTAGAACCGGACGGAACTGGGTATAACTACGCTTCTGCTATGAAGGGCGCAAAAGTAGTGGATCACAACAAGGAAGCAAAAGGAGCTAGCAATGTGCTTGGGAAAGATCATGATAAGTATCTAAGGAACCCGTGTTCAGTGTCAAATAAGTATGTCATGATTGAACTTGCGGAGGAGACGCTGGTTGACACGGTGAGGATTGCGAATTTTGAGCATTACTCTTCAAATCTCAAAGAGTTTAGCTTGTCAGGGAGCCTGAGTTACCCGACCGAGATATGGAATCATGCTGGGAGCTTCGTGGCTGCAAACGTTAAGCAGATTCAGACATTCCGTCTCTCGGAACCTAAATGGTTGAGATATCTTAAACTGAATTTAATTAGTCACTACGGGTCTGAGTTTTATTGTACTCTGAGTGTTGTGGAGGTCTTTGGCATTGATGCTCTAGAGCAAATGCTTGAAGATCTATTTGTTGCATCAGAGAGTCTTCCCAGTAAACCAGCTATGCTGGAACTCAATCAGGAAGTAAAAACCGTTGATGAAAAACAAGACAGAGAAGTGAAAAACAATGGGACAGATCAGATTGGCAAGGAAACTGAAGCTCCGAAGAAGAAAGATGATGTTGTTAAGACAATTAATAGCATTGGAGACAAGAAATATGGAGTTAGGGAGAAGCATAACGTATGGAAAGTGTTGATGCAGAAAGTGAAATCGATTGAGATGAATTTATCGGTTCTTGAGGACTCTGTAAAGGAAATGAACGAGAAGCAACCAGAAGTTAGCTTGGAGATGAATAGAACCCTGATGCTTGTGGAGAAAAGCAAAGCTGAAATCAAAGAGATCACAGAATGGAAAGGGAAAATGGTAATTTTCTTTCTCTCTTCCTCTTTTGTATTCCGATTTCTCCTATGATTTAAGTCTCTATCCGTTGAAAAACACTAGGAATGAATTCAATATTCTTTGAGCAGGAAAAGGAACTTAGAGACCTAGAGCTCTGGAAAACTCTAGTAGTTTCTCGTGTAGAATCATTGGCCAGAGGGAACAATGCATTGAGGTCAGTACTTTTTCTTATTTAAGTAGAGTAACTGAAGATTCGAAATCTACAGACGTTGACCAGCATTTCGTTTCTTGTTTCTTGAAATCAGATTGGATGTAGAGAAGATAGAGAGAGAGCAAGCAAATCTAGAGAGCATAGAGGTCGGAGTTCTGTTGATAAGTCTCTTTTTTGTGGTCTTAGCAACGATTCGGTTAGTCTCAACGCGACTCTGGGCGTTTCTTGGGATGTCTTTTACAGATAAAATACGATCATTGTGGCTGGATAGCGGCTGGGTCATGATACTGCTAAGCAGCAGCATCATGATTTTCATTACTTTGCTCTCTTAGTTAATTAGGTTGACGTAGGAAGATAGGCTTAGGGCTTCTCAACAGTACCTTGCTATTCAAGTTTTGAAGCCCAAGGATTAGGAAATAGAGAAGAAATTTTCATTGATAATAATTGGAAAATCTGCCCAAAAAAAATCCGTGGAAAAACTGATTTTCTGTAGAATTTAGGAGTTAAAGAGTTTAGAGATTAATCATGTGTTTGATGTATTCAACAACCCAAAAAATAATTAGATATTACTTTTATTACTGAAATAAAGGTTTCCTCAGCCAGAATTGGTAAATTTGTAAATGCTAATCTACGCCTGCACATTTTGGGCCGAGTAATCCGATTTTACGTTTACATGATCATATTATTCGTTTTTTCGGATAAGGGTAAGTGAGGTTATCTGTTTGGATAACGATAATTTATTTTAACGGCTAAGAGTAAGTGATGTTATCCGTTTGGATAACGATAAGTTATTTTAACGGGTAAGAGTAAAGGTAAAGGTTGGGTAATTACTCGGGTACCATTACAAAGCGAACACACAAATTGATCTTTTTAGAGTTTTAAACAAAAAGAAAACCCTCCCTGTGATCACTACTCCTCTATCGAAATCATCCCTTCTTTTCCTTCTCTATGGTGGGTGTTTCCACTATGTCGAAGGTGGTGCTTCTCTCTGATGATAAGGCAGGATTCTCCATGATCGAACAGTTGGTTCCAGAGATGACGACCCACATTCTTAGTTTCTTGGATTACTCCAGTCTCTGCAGTTTGTCGATGACCAGTTCCTTGATGGGGAAGACCGCTAATGACGATAACCTTTGGAAGTCCCTTTATCACCAGGTGATTTCGACTCTCTAATCACTCATTATCCATTTTGTATTGCTGCTATTGTAACTTCTGGGAGTAATGTGGTTAGTTCTGTACAGAATCCGTCATTGAAGAAATGGAATTCTAGCTTTTTTTCTCGAATTCGCTAAATGAACGGATTTTATCGACAGTGTAATGGTCCATTTTTGATTCTTTTTAGAGTTTTTGCTGATCTATGTTTTCCTCATTTTGGTTCATCTCTACAAGGATTTTCAAGAGGAAGAAGGTACTGTAACCCCGTTTAACAGGTGGAAGGCATACTATGCAGCTACTAAAACACTCATGAATGCGAATTTTGAATTCGTCAACATCATGACCGCGAAGTCACTTCCCAGGATGAGTCGACTCTGGCTTACTGCACACTGGGTGACGTGCTTCAGTGATTCGGGCAAACGTTACACAGGGTACTTATGCGGAATATGCCTTACTTATTATCTTCATGTTGCCACTGCATTCTTCTGTTTCTTTTACTCTAATGGTTTCTGGATAATGGTCTTGGAGAGGGTTGTACTGTCTCCTTTTGGGTTTCTTTAGAGCTTTTTTATGCAATCTGTTCAAGGGGTTTTGCCCGGTATAACCTGTGAATCCATGAAAGTCCATGTGGTTGATAACTTGTATTATTGGCTTATAGGTACGAGGCAGTGATGGAAAGATTGGAGGATTTGTTCGATAGCTGGGAGTTTTGGTTTGATTTTGATGCCTTTGATGTCGAGGCCCGGATTCGGACCGAATGGGCTTGGGTCACCATGTTCACTTCCCATCACGTGGCTGTCGACGGTCCATTGCGCATCACCAATGTGTTTGAACTCCACGATAACCGGTGGTTCATGGTGCACCATTACTGCTCGATCGTCCCCACGGGCGGTGCGGAGGATAATGAATAGGTTGGTTTTCATTGAGAGTTCCCTCTTCTCCTTTTTCTTTCTTGGTTCTGAGACAGAAAGAAAGAACAAAACCTGGTCTTTTCTTGTTTCTGGTTAATTTGTGAGTGATTTGCTAATTGTTTTGTTGGGTGGATCTCATTTGTTTTAAGTCGTCTACTATGTCATTTGGAGATTCTTAATATTCGTTTCATCTTTCTGAGTATTTGATTGTTACTCTCTACTAGTAATAAATAGTTAGTCTGAATGATAAATCTTTCTCCAATTGGGGAATTAACGATGAGATAGAGATACCCAAATCTACTGAGATTTGCCAAAAATCGAAAGAATCCCTTGTTCCTAGTATCCTCGCATCTACTGATCAAATCGAATGAACTGACACATTAGTCTCATTTGAAAACTTGAATGTGTGCGAGACAGACAAAACAGGAATTCCGGCGTCTAAGAATATTATCTCAAAATAGATAGAGAAATAGTAACTGTAGCAAATCACAAACTTATATTTTAAAATGGCTTATTAGGAAATTTTCAAAGACCAAGTTTATTTTGCCAATAAACCAATATTATCATAATATACTTACTACCTGCGCAAAAACACGGTTACAAGAGTACCACCGTACCAGCCATATAGAGAGAAAAGGAGAGAGACATGGGGCCTCAGAGAAAAAGGGATTCACTACTTGAGAGATCTCCACTCGGTAAACTCTTTCGGAAGAGATTTACAACCCACTCTCCCTAAGAATATCTTTCTATTTGTCTCATCCTCTCATGAACAACAGACGATGTAATGATCTTCGGACATGACACTAAACTTAACCAATACTCACCTTACGATTAAATCAGCTCTCGTCCGATGGTTTGACTTGGGCGTTAGAGAATTTATGGGAGGAAAACCCTACTTCGTCCTCCCGAAGATGTTCATGATGATCTTGTTACTTGTGCATGATTTATCGCTTTTCCCCGCAACAGCCGACATGGCTTCTTAGACATACACGATGGAACATTACGTCTCACCTCTCCTAGAGTACCGAAATCCTATTTGATGCTCTCAAGTCTATTTAAAAAAAAAGCATCAGTAGCTAATGCATGAGATCTATGATCTCCTGTACGGAAGATCCCAAAACCGACCCGAACAATATGACAAAAAATGTATTATAGTAATTTGTGGTAACGCCGATATTTTTTCACCATTCAAATTTGAACCTTTATGATGCATATAGTTGACAAACCAAAAATATATTATATATTTAATTATCTTAAATTGATTTTGCGAATTTTCATTATGGTTCTTACAGGGTAAAGTCAAGATTGAGTATGGCGAGTTTTGTCCATCACACCCCTAAAAATGCTCTACCACTGAACTATGGACTCTTTTTTTGTTAAAATTGATTCTTTTCGCTACATAAATTCATTATTAATGATTTAAATCACTATGGAATTGGTGTTAAAAAAATTTTCCTTCTTTACAAAAGATATCTAGTGATTGGATAAAAATAATCATGAAATTTTAGGAAAATATATTAGTATCGCATATAATTTAGTTTTAAAAAAATCATAGCATCATAGGAAATATAGTTTAGACAAATTTCGCAACGTAGTGTATATAGTAGCATTCATAACATAACTCGTAAGTTACTTAGGGAACCTATACATCATTTACAAAAGCGTTCAATCCGTTCATTAACGTTCGTTAAAGTCAAACTTTCTATCGAGACAACTTGGTTTTACCGATGCTCGTTTGTAAAGTATCTCTAGACACCTTAGGGGTACTTGGATTACTTGCCTTATAACATCATGACCACTATTTTACTTGGATTACTTGCTTGGTATGTGGAAAAACTGATTTTCTGTAGAATTTAGGAGTTAGAATTCAGAGATTAATCATGTGTGATGTATTCAACAACCCAAAAAATAATTAGATATTACTTTTATTACTAAAATAAATTAAGGTTTCCCCGGCCAGAATCGGCAAATATGTAAATGCTAATTTAGGCCTGAATATTTCGGGTCGGGTAATCCGGTTTTACTCTTACATGGTCATATTATTCATACGATAATTTATTTTACCGGCTAAGAGTATGTGAGGTTATCCGTTTGGATAACCATAATTTATTTTAATAGCTAAAAGTAAATGATGTAATCCGTATTGTATATTAAATTTTGGTTACTCA